TTGTGTAACGGGCCTTGGGTGTCCGTTTACTACTTACACGTAGTGATGAGGAAGCGTACAAGTCCAGTGATACTGAAACCAAGTACTTAGTCTGAAGGAAAATCAACTCTGTTTTTATTTAGGTCCAGGGCGGCTTGCCCTGACCACTCAAATACACGTCAACTCCTTATTGGTTGATTATGGGTCTGGCTCCCCATATTTCAACCAATAAGGTGACGGAAGCTCAGCACACGCTACTCGTGTGCTGCTGCACCTACTTTTGTAATGCAAATCTACCTACTTATGTAATGGTGTGAACCACTACAAAGAACCTATAAAACTACCTACATATGTAACTTGGGAAAGCCCATTACATCACCCCCCTCTTAAGACAGCAATCACCTAATGTGGGTGCACTTCGGAGAACAATCGGGAAAAACTGGGAAATGGCGGAGAAGAGAACGCTTGAGAATTTGACGGGCGGGAGCTCCTGCGAAGCCTAGGAGCAGCACAATACAACTTGCGCGGACGAGAACAACATGGCGCAGCAGACGGGGGCGGCGAACCAGGCAGGAAGCGGAACAACGCGGACGGCTCCAGCTTCGGCGACGACGCTGAACAGTGGGTGGACTGCTGATATCGCACCTGAGAGCGTGACTCGACTTGGGGTTCGGCCCGGCGTAATGAACGAGGATATGAAGCCGTGGGCGCTGTACGACTTGTCCGGGGCGGTGACCCCGGACGCGCTGGACACCATGCAGGACCACTTTCGGCGCTTCAGGCGTCTCCGGAACAAAACACTCGACGGCGCGTCGTACGAAGCTTTGCAGAGATCATGGTGCGCATTCATCCGGCGGTAAAATCGGATGCAAGAGGCTGGAGAAAGTGTCGTCGGCTAACTCGGTGATCGCGAAGCCCTACAAGCCGAGCATTCACTCGGTGATCTGCGCCTGAAAGTCTGCGACGACGCTTGGACCGAAGACCGTTTGTGCTATGTCAACGTACGCGAAGGTTGCAGTTCGTGTGACATCGGGCGACGCCCGACGCAAGCTGAGTGGGATCAGCATATTGTCGAGTATCCG